ATGTGTGGTAACAACGGTGCTGTTTATTTTCCTATTATTTGACAATTTCCCCACATGTCTTGCTATTGCTGCTGTGGTTTGAGGGTACCCTGTAGGATACCAATCCTTGTAGATTTGGGTCTTGGTAAATAGAGTGTTTATGCTTGAAGGGCTCTTGTGTTTTGCAGGATGTAGTTCTTTCTCCTGTCCTGTTTCCAGATGCATGGATTTTCTACCTCAGCTGGGACTCTAGTCACAAGGTGCAGGCTGGATACAGCTTCTCTACTATGTAAATTGGCCAACTTTTCGATGTTCAGGTTTTATATATCATTGCAATGCCTTCTCCACCGAATACCCAGAAAGTCTTTGTGAATTTGTTTCAATTGTCATTTTTGCTTCCCTGTATCCTGAAGCTGTGTTAAGCTCTGTTACACATCTGTAATTTTGTGTCTTAATCAACCAACCTTGCCATTACGAAATGTCTTTCTTAAATATGAAAAGATTGCATTCCTTGAGTCTCGAGAGATTGCTCAGTGGTTAAGGTCAATTTCCCAACATCCACTTCAGTCAGCTCACAACTGCTACAGACCAACACACATGCGCGCGCGCACGCACACATACACACACACACACACACACACACACACACACACACACACACACAAAGATTGGAATAAAGATTCCTTCTTGTGGAGCTTGCCGTGTGATGTGCTGTTTGTGCAATCATAGTCCAGCTATGACTGGAGTTTGCAAGTCCAGCCTCCCTCACATCCTTCCTTTCCCATGGAAAGGCTCAAAAGGGCCTCATGCTGTAGGCAAACACTGTGCCCATGGAGTATGAGCCCCAGCCCTGTTTTCTTTCTTTTTTTACTTATAACCCACCTTTGTCTTTATATTTGAAGTGTCCAGAGGTTTGATTTTCCCCATGTATTTAGGATCCAAGTTGCCTTTGGCTGTGGATTAAATTTTTTAAAATTTATTTTAGAACATCTTAGTCTGGTTATATTTCTATGATCTCTCATTATTTTAAATACCATATTTTAAATACCAATTATTTATAATAATTGCCTTAAGTAGAAGATGCATTTCTTTTAGTATTTATGCTTGTTTTCTGTGATACAATTCTATTTCTAATAATAAAAGGATTATGCGTTAGCCATTTATAGTGCCCATCTGAGAGGTATAAAAGCCATCTAGGAAATAGGTCACTTGAGTTCCTGGCCAGCCAGGGCTACATAGTGAGACTCTGTCTCAAAAAGCAAACACACACACACACACACACACACACACACACACACACACACGACCCTAATGATAATTTCTGGAAGGAAGAAAAACATAAAGATGAAAATTAAAATTACCTAGAATGCTCCTTCCACATATATTTGTTTTGTCAAGTTGTGATTGTTAGTTTTTTTGTTTTTGTTGTTTTGTTTTGTTTTTTGAGGTAGGGAGAGTATCACTCTGGAGCTTGCTAGGCCAGCCTGGCCTTGAACTCAGAGTACTGGGATTAAAGGCATGTGCCACCATACCTGACTTCCTTTCACAGAAATTTTAACATGTAGTTACAATCTTTCTGAGTGCTCACTAAAATGTTGAGCTCTTTCAACAGTGATTATTGTGGTAAAATAATCAGAGGATACAATAGCATCAGTCTGAAAACTGTAAGTTACTATTTGTTAATGTATTGTTTTTAATGTGTGTGTGTGTGTGTGTGTGTGTGTGTGTGTGTGTGTGTGTGTGTGTGTGTGCCTGCGAGAGTTTGCACTGTGTGTGCAGTTGCTGGTAGAAGGCAGAAGAGGGCATTAGGTCACCTGGAACTGGAGTTGCAGACAGTTGGGAGCCACCTGATGGAGTGCTGGGTCCTGAACCTGGCACCTGCACAGCCACAGGCTGTCACTGCTGCTGAGAGGCTCTCCTGCCCCAGTCTGGGACTCTGGGCTGTCTTCATCTTTGAGACCTCCGGACCTGCCAAATACTTGCCTGTCCTTGCTGCTAGCCTGGGTCAGCCACCGTTCTGCTTTTTACGAGTGTGAACACATTCAATGCTTCAGGGGAGTGGAATCCCAAAGTCCTTGGCTCTGTGACTGCCTTATCTCAGGCACCATCTGAGGCATTTTGATACGAAGCTCCTGCTGCTGACTCGTCATGAGCCTCGTGGCTTTGAAACAGGCCTTAGGTGTTAGTTCGGGTGTGGCTGTTTCACCAGATCATTGCTCTAAGCTGTTTTACTGTCTTCCCCTCTGTATGCCCCTGCCTCAGAGTAGAGCCTCACATGTTCCTGCCCCTTCCCTAGGTATACTTGATTGTTGCTGGCCTGGGACTCAGAGCTGGGATTAAAGGCATGTGCCAGCATGTCTGTCCCTGTCCCTTTTATTATTATTACTCTATTTCTTTATTTGTTTTTTTTTTTTTGAGACCTCTTTGTAACCCCGGCTGTCCTGGAACCTGCTATGTAGACAGGCTGTCCTAGAACTCAGAGATCTGCCTGCCTCTGCCCCATCACATCTCAACTTCCCTTTTATGTTGAGACAGGGTGGCCTTGAACTTGTGGCAATCCTTCCTCAGTATCCCACTAGCTGTTGGCCTCTCTTAAAGTTCATTTTGCTCCTTTCTTCTATGATAATTTGATTTACCCCCAAATCGCCTGCTTTTCGCATGCTGTTTTCCAGGTCTGGGATTTCCTTCCTTTTCTCAGACTTGCACTTTTCTCTAGTTTCTGTAGCATACCCGGGATTTTGTTGAACATGCCTGCTTCCTAATTATAATCACGTGGCCGTCTTGCGTCAGCTCTGTTGATTATACACCGTTCTTCCTGCTCTTCGGTATGCCTCGTAATTTGCTATTGGACATTCCTACTCACAGAACACTGGAAAGCAGAGTGAATGGTTTGGTTTTCCCTGCGGAGGGCCTGTCTCCTCTTAGCAGAGCTCCAGAGAACCATGCTGCGTCTTAGTTAATGGCCAGTCTTGGCAGTGTGGAACTTGCTCCTTGGGATTTAGCTTTGGTCTCAGATGCCACACTTCAGTTGGATCTTGACTTCATTCACCTGGGACTGGGATTATGAAAACTTGGATTATTTTGTGGGACCCAGTGGTCTGTCCCTCTGGGGTTGTAGTCTTTGATCCAGTCTGCTACCCCACACATCTGGCTGCAGTTGCCTGTTGGCTGCTTGTAAATAAAATGTGTCTGGGACGCTCCCAATTGCACAGACCTGGCACCTGCCATGAGAGGTAAGAGGGCAGATGTGATGCTCTCCTGGCTGTTGATGCCTCAGGTTTTCTCTCTGCGATTCAACCCAAGTGTCTATGCATCTGTTGTTTTCCATTGCTGCAGGAGTAGAGGTCAATCTCGCCCTAAATTCTCATCTTCAGAAACAGGCTTCTCTCCAGTTGTTTTTAGTTACATCAGACTAATCCTGAAGTCCCCACATCTGCTCAACAGCCAAGCTTCCCTCTTTTTTTTTTTTTTTTTTTTTTTTTTTCTTTGGACAGGGTTTCTCTGTGGCTTTGGAGGTTGTCCTGGAACTGGCTCTGTAGGCCAGGCTGGCTTCATACTCACAGAGATTGATCCTCTACCTCCCTAAGCTTCCCTCTGTAGCTTACTACCTACTGCTGTCTGTTATGCATTTTTGCCATTGTTAAATTCACGTCACAACAAAGGTGGTGACGCACGCCTTTAATCCCAGCACTCAGGAAGCAGAGGCAGAGGACGATCTCTGTGCATTCAAGGCCAGCCTGGTCTACAGAACAAATTCCAGGACAGCCAAGGCTATAACACAGAGAAACCATGAATCAAAAAAATCAAAGAAAAGAAACAACAATAACAAAAAAAATGTGTGTCATTGCCAAAAATGATACAAGTGGAGTATCTTATAAAATTCTCAGTAGAATTATGTCCCAACTGTCATGGTTCTTTGAAATCCTTACAGATAAAGATTTAAGATTTCGGGCCTGGAGAGATGGCTCAGAGGTTAAGAGAACTGGCTGTTCTTCCAGAGGTCCTGAATTCAATTCCCAGCAACCACATGGTGGCTCACAACCATCTGTAATGAGATCTGGTACCCTCTTTTGGCCCATAGAGATACATGTATGCATAATAAACACATAAATCTTTTAAAAAAAGATTTAAGATTTCAATGTGTAATGAGTGCTGATACTCGCATGGATTCTGCCAGTGTTGGTATGCATATGGGGACTTGGAAAAAGAATCTCGTGTTGCATGGACAGATTATAAAAAGGCATCCGTGACTGCTCCAGGCTGGGACCTTGCACAGCTGCGCACACACAGTACATCTGAGCTGGGAAGATGAGAGAGTTATAAAACATTGCCAAGTATGAAATTCGTATATGACTACTGTAAACACACATTTTTTTCCTTGTTTATAAAATTGAGCTGGATTTGTGTTACTGCTTTTGTTTTCTTTACTTAATCATAACATATCATTGAAAATCTATTACTGAGAAGTTTCTAGAGAAACCAGGGGCCATAAGAGAATCTCCCTAAGGGGGAAGAGTTGAACATAAGTTCAGGGTGTGGTGGTTGAAAAGTTTCTGCACCCTGATAAGCTTCTCTGCTGATGCAGCACTCCAATCATACCAAATCAGACTGAATCAGAAAAAGCCCACATTTAATGGATACAACACTCCCACTCCCAGATGGCCTTCCAGCCCTCTCAAGAGAGGAGACAGCAAAGAGACTAGAAAAACCACAAGTCTATTTTCTGGGAGGCAATTTAAATACCCAGTGGGAGTGGTCTTGAACATCTCTGGTGGAGGGGTCATCGTTTGGCTAGCTTTCTGAGATGCAGCAGGGTTTGGAGAGAGATAGGGGAGGGGGGCTTGGGTGGAGCTTCCACCATAACATCCCAGACTCTTTGGGTATATGGATGCCAGGGACTGGGGTGAAGCTTCCACCATAACACTGGTCTCTCTTTGTAACAAGTATTGAAAGTGTTGGTTGAATGTTAAAACTTCTGCAACAAGTAACAGTAAGCCTTTACATGCATGAAAATGGTGGACCATAAGCAAAGCACTGACCATCACCTGATTTCTGTTGCACAGGCATACTCCAACACCCAGACGGTACAGTTCTGAAACAGCTACAGCCACCGCCACGGGGCCCGAGAGAGCTGGAATTTTATACCATGGTAAGTGATGCAAGATGCTTTGTTATTCTACGTGCTCTTCAGTCACTCTGCTGTGACTCAGAATGAGAAACGTGTTTGACAGCATGCCCTGGGTCCCCATGTAACAGACAAGCCTCATGCTTTGTGGAAACGGTTTATCTCCCAGTGTTTCTGCTGCAGCCTAGAATTTTCTGTTCTGTTTCACGTCCTAAATTCTTACTCTGAGTCACGAAATTGATTTCAATCAACTGGTCGTGACCCACAATTGGAAAAACACTTAACAGAGTTTGTCACTCTCAGAAATGCCAAGTTAGGGTTTTTATTGCAGCTTCTTAGAGGCTTGTTTGGTTCCCTCTGTGACACGGTGCTTGTGTCTCAGCCTTCCCTGTGCTGTGTGTCACTGCGCCCTGCCTCCGAGTCTTCAGGGTTTCTCTGCACTGTGGGAGAAGGGCTCATTTCTAATACCCAATTCGTCATATGACCCAGAATGATTTTTTTTTTTTTTTTTAGTGTGTTCACGGTGTTCCGTGACCACCAGTTATTTAACTTGCAAACATTTTAGCCACGTGGTTCCACCTTCCCTGCCCACCAACCACAGGCCCATCTTTCCCCATGTGCTTGCTGGCCTTTGTATGCCTTCTCTCAAGTAATGCTTAGTCAGATATTTCCCTCGTTTTGTAGTTGAAGTGTATATAAAAAGTTCAGTTACATCCTTTCAGTAGTTCACTGTGAATATAAGCCCCCCCGACCAAACACCCGCTTGCCGGTGCTCCCTGCCCTTCTCTAGTTGTCTTTTCACTGTTTTGGTAGTGCCCTTCCAAACACAAAGTCATGAGTTTTGATGAGGCCCAGCTTATATCTGTGCTTTCTTTGGGTGCTATTTTGAGAAAGGGTCTTATGCTACATATAGCGTAGGAATGTATCATGAAGCCCAGGACAGCCTCAAGTATGCTGCAGTCTTTCTCAGTTTCCAAGTGTTGAGATTGCAGGTGTGCACTGCCACACCCAACTCTAATCAGTTTCGTTTGGGCTTTTATCGACTGCCCTGATTAAGAGCTCACAAAGGTGCCTCCACCCCACTGGGAGCTCCCTGTCCCTCTGTTGTTATGCACTCTTCTGTCCAGTGTTGTCTCTGACCCTCTGAAAGCTCTCTCCATGTAGTGCTCACCTAACACAAGGAGCTGGAGGTTAGGTGGCTAGCTCACGTGCCTAGGGCAGCTGTAACAAAGTAACACAAACTGTTTGGCTTGAAACGCACAAGTGACTTTTTTCTCACTTAGCCTCCTTGTCAGGCTGCACTCAGGGGTTTCTTCCAAAGGCCTCTCCCTCTCCTCCCTGTGGGCAGTCCCCTCAGATCTTCTTCTGTGGGTTTGTGTCCTGATGCACTTCCTGAAAACACCCTCAGCATGACGAGCCCTGGTTATAACCTTTAATTTATTGAGAAAACCAGGCAATTTTTACAAATGATTCCAGGAGGCTGGCAAGGTGGCTCAGCCAGTAAGGGAGCTTGTCTCTAAGCCTGATAACCTGACTTTGATTGGGATCTACATAGTGAAAGGAAAGAATTGATGTCCTTAAGTTGTCCCACACACACACACACACACACACACACACACACACACACACCCACCAGACTTTATTTGCCTGTGTTCAGAGAATTACCTTGAATTTGGCATCAGTTATATACAACTCACATAGTAGCAAATAGTTGAAAGATGTTGACAGGCAGGACTTACCACCAGGAGACTGTTCCCTGTGGATCAGCAGGATGGTGTGCTGTAAGTAGCTGGTTATTATTACAAACCCATGCAGGATGAATTTCGGGTCTTTTATCCTTGGTCTTCCTGAGGGCTCATGGAAACCTGACCAGCCCTGCACCTCTGTCCAGGTTTACGCTGCCGACTGTGCCGACACTGTTCTCCTGGAGCTGCGGAAACACCTGCCCAAGTACTACGGCGTCTGGTCCCCGCCTACCGCACCAAACGGTAATGCGTTTTAAGTACTTCTCGTAGTTTAGTTCCCAAGTTTGGCTTTATGAAGGGTCTGTGTAAAGGCTGTAAAACATGGAACTCGTGTACTTTTCCTTCCTACCTTCACTAAACAAAACTCACTGGAACTTTCGCTTTTTATCGTCATTTTCTTGAATGACATGTTACACATTAACTGATAAATCTGCTACAATTTTGTGAGAACATCTTAGTACTGTACTAATTTACTAATGTCCATTTCTTATCAAAAGAGTAAAACATTAAGAACCCAGGCAGAAGCACCCCCCCCCCATAGCTTCTGTCTCCTGCCTTACTTCCAATCTGCAGGCTTTGACTTTCAGTCTTTTGGGAAACTGGGAGGAGAAATGAGATTGTGTGCCTGTGTCTTGGAGTCTAGTATTTTCTGTCTGTCTGTCTGTCTGTCTGTCTGTCTGTCTGTCTGTCTGTCTTGCTGTCTGGTTTAAAGGTCTTATTTCCAAATATATGCAGATGTTTATGATTGAGAATAGCATTCTGAGTAATTAATTACTCAACAGACCATTAATTGTAACTGCCCTTGGATCCTTTTTTTTTTTTTTTTAAATTTTTAAATTGTTTTGAAACTACATCTCACTGTGTAGTCCTGGTTGACCTGCCTCTGGTGCCTGGATGCTGGGATTAAAGGCATCTGCCACCACATCCACGGGTCCTCATTCTCTGTATTCTGTGCAATACATGGTTGTGAACACACTTGCCGTTGTAGCATCTTTCCTTCCCCCACTGCTATGAGAGGCACTAGTCAGGAATGCCATTCATGAGACCCAAGACGGAAGGAAGCTTGGCCGTCTGGGTCCCACTGAGCTGTGCTGACCACTGCTGCTTGACACCTGAGCATTTAGTACCGAGGACAGTGTGAGTAGAGGTCTGGATAGTGAGGTACTTGCCTGAACAAGGTTCTTGGAGAGATGGGTCAGAGGTAAAGGGCACTGGCTATTCTTGGATTCAGTTCCCAGCACCCATAAGGCGGCTCATAACCATCTATAATTCTAGGGGGTCTGATACCTCTTCCGGCTCATCAGGCATCTGCACACACTTGGTGTCTATACGTACATGCAGATAAAAGTCATACGCATAAAGTAAAAAGGACATTTTTAAAAAGAAATATTTTCTTTGGAGAACTGGGCATGATGGTTATGATTTAGATAAACATAAACATGTATTATTGTGTGTGTGTGTGTGTGTGTGTGTGTGTGTGTGTGTATAGTGCATACACACACTTTTTCTTTGAGACAGAGTCTACCTACCTACCTCTGACTGTCCTGGAATTCACTATGTAGACAAGACAACCTGGAACTCACAGCGATCCACCTGCCTCTGCCTCTGGAGTGTGCCACCACTGCTTGGCCATTTTCTGTTTTGCCATCATTCTTTTTTTCTTTTTGCTATGGAGACATCATATTAGAAAAGAAGTACAGCATCAGAAAAGCTGTTCTCACATCTGGTGCAATATTTTTTTCTGTCTCCGATAAAAACTAATCCATAAGGCTTTCTCTAGCAGGATCAAAGCAGGGAGGCACCGGTGCAGTTGGCAGCAGCGCTCGAGCAGGTGTGTCTGTGTGGGAAGTGAGGAAATCAGGAAGATACATCATGAGGGCTGAGCACCTGCAATGACCCGATTGAGCCTGGCATTCAGATTGCATTTTGCCATCTTAGCTCTTTTCAGCTTGAGATAAAAATCAATATGTAATAAATAGATGTTCTTGTTAATGTTTAACTGTAGGCCAAGGCTTAGGATTAGCTTCAGGGTGGAGAGGTATCTGTTATCAAGTGCCTGATTGAGTCATGATTATGCCTTTTTATTTTGTGGTTATTACATCGTATTTGTCTTCCTGGGGCAGGGAAGAGTTTGCTCCAGGGAGTCGGCCTGCATTTGTACTTATCCTGGACACAGTTCAACTTGAACTCATGGTGACCTTGCATGGGTTTTAATACCTGTCAGTCATGTTCATGTTTAACACTTAGTGTATCCTTACTGTCCAGACCCAGTGCTCAGTAATTAACAGGTGGCACCAGGCGCTGTTGTGGATAGAACATTACTTCTGTTCCTCAGGAGCAGCCCTGGAAGGCAAGGTGTATTAAATGCTGTTGCCTGTGTGACCCCAGGGCAGTGCCTTGTCCCTTGAGACACTTGAGACATTCTGGGACTTTGACGACACACCCTCAGCACCCTGGACCATGACACCTCTATTTCATGGTGGGTCTGTGCTGGACTCGAATCTGTACATGCCATTGAAGTACAGGGACATGGTAGGATGGCACAGGCTAACGCATGACATGTTGGAGCTGACATTTGTTTCTGCACGTGCCCCCAGCCCTTCCTTTCCCTCTTTGTCCTCACCATAGGGATCACTCATTTCTCACAAAAGGGACAACATGTTATGACATGAACTGAAGACCCGGAGAATTGTCACAAGTTGGTTACCTCTGAATCCCAAGTGTCACATGTTTGCCCGTGTCAGTGACTGGTTGTGGCTTGTGTTCCAGATTGTGACAGGAGCACTTCTGAGGTCTGTGGGTAGCACTGAAGTTGTGTTGCGCCATGACGCACAGCAACGTTTGTGACACACCTTAAGCCGTATAGGTGGAGACCAGCCCCATTTCTGTACTTCCTGTATGCCAGGGATCTCTTCCTCCTTCCATTCAGTCAACAGACACATGGAAAAACACCGCTCCACTCTGGACCCAGAGGGGCCTCCAGGAAAAGACATCTTTTGTGATTGGTGTGCAGTTGCCTCAGAAGATGGTCCTGTAGCAAAATGCCTTTGATCTTTACAGAACTGAGTTCAAGACTGACTTACTTTGACTTGAGCTTTATTCTATTACACCACTGAGAGAATTTGCTAGTGGCAGTTTTCAAAATGAACAGTATTCAGATTTATAGACAGGACAACTGTCAGCCTAACAGTCTGGCGCTCAGGTTGTGGCCCACTTTCTTATTTCTTCTCTCTTTCAAAAGCTTGTGTTAAGCCGCTCTCAACACAGCACCAGTTCTCTCCTAGGAACACTTGTGTACCTTTCTTTTTGTGTGTTTTGGAACAAGCTCTTGCTATGTTCCCAGGGCTGGCCTGGTAACTGTGATGCCCAGGCTGATCTTCAATCTAGGGTGCTCCTGCTTCAGCCTCCTGAGTGCTGAGATGACAAGCATGCATTTCCATCCCCGGAGGCCTAGAACTCTGTATGCCTAAAGCAGGTTTTGATGTTTAGTTTTTACAACTTTGAAGAAAAGGTACAAATGAGAATCTTCTTTGGTTTTTTGAGACAGGGTTTCTCTATATAGCCCTGGCTGTTGTGGAACTCATTCTGTAGACCAGGCTGGCCTCGGCCTCGAACTCACAGAGATTCACCTGCCTGTGTCTCCTGAGTGTTGGGATTAAAGACGTGCACCACCACTGCCTGGCCAAATGAGAATCTTAGCTGCGCCGTACTTCACCCTTGTAATCTCAGCACTGGAAGGCTAAAATGGGGCCTTCTGTGAGTCCAAGGCCAGCCTAGGAAGACCCTGTCTCAAAAACACTGAAAAAGAAAAAGAGAGTGGGATATTGTTCTGATTTCTGTGTGTGCACATGTGTGCTCGAGTGCATCTGTATAAAATGGGGGCCAGGGAATGGAAACACCTACTCAGTCCTCCCAAGGCCTTAACTCATTATAACTCATTTCCATGCTGAATGCTAGTGATCTAGTTGTGGCCTAATTCCAAGCATAGACACGTGAGAACCCGGTAAGTTAAAGAAACTCGATCTTGACTATTTGAGCTAAACACACAGTAAAAACCTTGCATTTGGGCCCTACTTGTTTAAGAAAGGACTTAATCTGTTGTAGTGTAAGTCGGCTGGGTCCACAGTGTCCAGTGCAGTGACACCCATGTTTTGTAGGCATTCACTGAATGGGAGGAGAAGAAAGAACAAAAGGATTTCTAAGTTGGGTTTGCAGGCCAGTGTCTAAATTATCAAAAGACACATTTGACGCATAGAAAACAGCCTTCCATTGAGATGTGTGCAGGCCTCCCAGCTGACAGTACACACTCATATCCAGCCTTACCTCAGCATGACCCCGATGTCATCTCCAAGTTAATGATGATGTTGTTGGGGTACCGGGTATCTCCTGTGCTAAGGTCCTTCGTCTTTACTGTACTTGGGATGTGAGCGTTGTCATTGATGCTCTTCAACACTGTGGTGAGGGTGAAGCTATTCTTTCCCAGACACTCCATCCTGTGGTTGTCTTTTCAAACACAGAAGCTTGGCTGTGTCCAACTGAGGTTTGTCCACTTGTCCTTTGCTATTTGAGCCTGCGTTGGTGCTGTGTCTGGACCTGTTGTTAAGGTGCCTGGGCAGCTTGTTTTCAGGTTCAAGCCCCTAGATTGCTTGATCCTTCCAGGCTGCTGTCCCATTGCCACAGTGCTAACCTGTCTGCCCTGCTACCCCTCATCCTCTGCAGAAGATTTAGGCCGATAAGTCTGAGGGCCTTGACAGTTTTGAAGGCCTGAGTTGTTCTCATTTGGTTCCACACAAGCATCTTTGTTGTAATTTCAAAACTGTGTCTGTCTGGATGGGACCAGAAAAAGGGACATTCGTTAGTGCACAGGGCTTCTCTGACCCTGGTGCCTTTTATCAGGTTAAGAGGAAATGTACACTTTTACAACTTTACTATGTGTGTGCACACACAATTTTGCATGCATGAGCTACAGCATACATGTAGCAGTCAGAGGACAACCTTGGGTATTGGCTCTCACCTTCTACCTTGTTTGGGACATGGTCCCCTAATGGCTGCTGGATATACCAGATGGCAAGCCTGCAAGTTCCCGAGGATCTTACTTCTGCCCCCCATCTCTCTGTAAGAGAGGGCTTGGATTGCAGATTGTTTGCCCAGCTTTGCCTGGGTCCTGGGGATGCTAACTCACCTCACTCCTGGTGCTTGTTCTCACTGTACTGACTCATCCATCTCATGGGTCCTCGGGATGCTAACTCACCTCACTCCTGGTGCTTGTCCACACCGTACCCACACATCCATCTCCTCAGCCCCGACAACTAAAACATGAATCATGTTCTCATTGAGAATGGTGACGGGATTGTTTTCCTTAGGAAAAAGGAGAATTATTTCTTTTCTTCTTTTCTCTTTGCACCTGGGTCTTTGCTTTCAAGGTAGTAAGTGGCAAGGGGGGATTTGATGGCATCATTTGGGTTCAGTCCCCAGTTTACTGATGCAAACGAAGAACAAACTTTACAAGATTCTTAAAATACTAAGAAATCTTGTTCTGAGCCCAGATGGCATTGTGTTCATAGGGGATGGTGTTCCCATAGCTTTTTAGTGTTGCACACTCACTTTGCTCCTGTGACCTTGGCGGTCACACACGGGAGGGATTTCTCTGACGTTTATCCTTAGTAATGAATCTGTGGACTCTAGATTTACCTAAAGTCTTTCCTCCTCCAGCATTTCCTCTTTGTTCTTCTCGGGAGGTTATTTGAGTGCTATGATTGATGGCCTGCTGTTAACTAAGGTTTTTCCTCTGATAACAGATGTATACCTAAAACTGGAAGATGTGACTCATAAGTTTAATAAGCCCTGTATAATGGATGTGAAGATAGGGCGGAAGAGCTATGACCCCTTTGCCTCATCAGAGAAAATCCAGCAGCAGGTCAGCAAGTACCCTCTGATGGAGGAGATCGGGTTCCTGGTGCTCGGCATGAGGGTAAGAGTAGCTTCGGTGAGGTGTACCTGTCTCCCTTACACACCACTCACTCCATGGGACGGCAGAACTGGTGCCCTGTGCAGTTGGGTCACCCATGAGGAGTGTGAGCTACGAGGGCTGGGGCTTTATCTGTTGCTCACTGGTCTGTGGTCAGTGACTGGTCCTGACATCTAGTCCGTAATTTATACATAATGACCAGGCCCTAAGATGATGATGCTGGTAATCTTGTTTTAAAGAAGTTTTAAGTTTAAGTGCACAGAAATGTTAAAAGTTACATACTCATTGTAGCTTCCCTAGAAGAAGGTAACTGTGTTATACTTTGCTTTTGTTGTTGTTGTTGTTTTGTTTTTTTGAAACAGGGTATCACTGTGTGGTCCTCATTGTTTTATAACTTGCTTTGTAGACCAGACTGGACTTGAACTTAGAGATTCACTTGCCTCTGCCTCCCAAGTGCTATGAAAAAGAACTATTTTATAAATAGGAAAAAAAAACCCACATCATTTCATATTTTTATTTAAAACAGTTGTTTTATTTACACATAGTTCTATGAATTAGCATTTAAAATTTTTTTATTTTAGTTTGGCAGTGTTGACGCATGCCTTTAATGCCAGCACTCAGGAGGCAGAGGCAGGTGGATCTCTGTGAGTTCAAGGCCAGCCTGGTCTACAGGGCAAGTTCCAGGCCAGCCAGAGCTGTTACACAGGGAAACCCTGTCTCGAAAAACACAAATAAAATAAAATTTTTTATTTTAACTGACACGTAAGACTCATATTTATGTTTTGATATGTGCACATACTTTTCACCTCAGGATAGGCACAGGGTTGGCGTCATCTGGTGACTAGGGCTGCTAGGGTCTCTCATGGTCTGGCCATATGTCCATATGCCATCTGATAGAAGCCATCTGATCGACTTGAGCATCCGTGCCTTGAGGCTAAAATCTGAGGAGCCAGAGCAGGAGCCTCAGAAGTAGGAACGACTTGTGTTTTTTTGGGGGTGGGGGGTGGGGGTTGGGTTGTCACATGATCCTTCTCCACCTCTGATGTCACAACACAAATACCAGAATATGATGGGAAGGAAGGATTACTGAAACCATTTTGCGGAAGTCACCATAGCGGGGAAGTAACATGGCACATGGTCCTCTCAACCAATAGTGTGTCTAGATGTGCCCAGTGATTGCAGCTTGCAAGAATGGGCAAGTGACAGATGGTCTTCCTTTCATCTTAAATGGGCATTCAGAGGAATTTGTGGGAGATTGCTAATGTGCCAGTGATCCCATGCTGGACTTGGTATCTTGATCAATAAAGCATATAAGAAAGACAAAAGGGGGCCAGCAGAATGGCCCAGTAGGCAGAGGAGCTTGCTGTGAAAACCTAACAACTTGTATGGCCCCCAGGACTCACTTAAGGCAAAAGAGCGAGCCAACTCCACAAAGTTCTCTCCTGAGCCCTCAAGTGCTCTACAGTCTGCTCTACCCTTCTCATAGGATGGGGTTTTCAGCCTAAAGGGAGCTCTCCCCGTGTCTCCTGACTTTCCTTCCCTCCCAGCTCTCACACCTTCTACTATCGATTCTCTTGTCATTCTTCAACACAACTTCTGCCTATTCGTTATGGGCTTTTGTTGTCATTTGTTATAAAAAAACAAAATAACAAAAATAAAACAAAACAAAAAAAACATGTTTACCATGTTGAATTGCAGATTGAGCCCTCTCCCCTTCAAAACTAAAGCAGTCCTTTTCCTGTGTAAAGTCATTTTGTTGCTATAACACAGCTCTCTCGTTAGTCACAAAAATGTTTTGCTCTTTTTCCTATTTAACATATCCCGAGGTCTCAGTGGCTCATAGTATCATTCCATAATGGAACGTTCTCCTTTTGGTGGCTCCATGATTGTTTCCAGGCTTTGCTGTTACCCGCCATGTTACGGTGAGGCATGCGTCTGCCTCCTTCTACCATTCACTGTGCAGTGTGTCCTGGCACAAGTCTGTGAGGTGGAGTGCTGGCTTATGTGACCCCACAGCTTTGATGGCTGACGCAGTCGTTAGCTGGGGAGCTTTGCTCCTGGCCAGGCACTTGACAATGTATTAGACATTTGCTGTATGGATGAACTCACCTTGAACTTCTGATCCTCTTGCCTCTCTCTCTCTTACCAAGTGCTGATATTACAGGCCACTTCAATTTCTTTTTCTGTGGCAGTTTCATGTAACCCAAGCTTGAAACTTGCTGTGTAGCCAAGGATGACCTTGAACTTCTGCCCTTTCTCTTCTCCTTCCCCAAGTATTGAGGCATGTGTCACTAAGCTCAGCTAAACTTGCAATATTAGGAAATGCTTTCATCTTGACCCTGTAAATTTGCAGTCGATTCTGATGGGTTGAAAAAGGTAATTCTATCATATTGAAAATCTATGTTACTCTTAGCAGCTGCTCAGAAGTGGGGCACCTGAAGGCCAGGTGCTCTTTTAGCCCCTGCTCATGTGGCGATATGTCCATCCCTTCACATCCACATGAGGGATCGTGTGTCACTAGCCCTGAAATCACCACGCATGGCCAAGGGCACCCGTATTAGTGTTTGAATGTTCACTACTCTTTTATTTTGACAGGTTTATCATGTTCATTCTGACAGCTACGAGACACAGAACCAGCACTACGGAAGAAGCTTAACAAAAGAGACCTTAAAGGAAGGTGAGCGCCGAAAGTGAATGCTTCACTGTTGCAGTTAGCAAGATGCTTCTAATCGCATTTGTTTTGATTCTCCTGTGGAATAACAATTAAACTCATAGACTTAGAAAAAGCAACCTAAATAGACAGAAGCAGGTTTACCGTTATCCCTGGACCCTAATATAGCCGAGTGTGAGTTGTGGGTAGGTGAGGTCTTGTTGAAGGAAGTGTGTCACTGTTGAGGTGGGCTTTGAAGTCTGATATATGCTCAAGCCATGCCCTGTGCGTCAGTTCACTTCCTGTTGCCTTTAATTGAAAATAAGTTTTCTTTTTTTTAATTCAATATTTTCTGATTCTGATTTCCCCTTGCCCAACTCCTCCCTGATCCTCTCTACTTTCCCACCCACCTAAATCCACACCTTTTCTTTTTCATTCTCATTAGGATACAGACAGGCATCTAAAATTAATAATAATAGACCTATGGTGGTCATGGACACCTCTAGTCCCAGCACTCCAGAGGCAGAGGCAGGTGAATCTCTGAGTTCAGGGACAGCCAGGGCTACATAGAGAAACCCCACCTCAAAAAAACAAAAGAAAAGAAGTGATAAAGTAAAATTAGATAAAATTCAAACAAAACAGAATAGGAAAACAAAAAACAGACACACACACACAGAGAAATCCCATAAAAACACAAAACCAGAAACCATTTCATATATGCAAAGGACCAATAATGCAAAGAAAAGAAAGAAGGTGCTGACAAAGCATTATGAGACAAAGAACCTCCAAAAATGCCATTGAGTTTGTTTTGTGTTGGCCATCTATTGCCGGGCATGGGTCCTGGCCTTAAGAGTGGTTTGTGTATCTAGTGAGACTCCACTGGAGAAAATTAATTTTTCTTTTGAGAACAGTTACTGATTTGAGATAGCTTCTGTGTTAGGAATGGAGGCTTGTGTCCACTTCCCCTCTCAGTGCCGGAAGCCCTGTCAGACCCAGACGGGTGCAGGCCCTGTGTGTGCTGCCAGTTTCTGTGAACTCTTATGTGTTGGTCCTGCTGTATTTAGAAGGCTTTGTTGCTTTGGTGTGTGTTCAATCCCCACGAACACTTACATTCTTCCCTCCTCCTCTTTCACAGAGTTCCCTGGGACATGGGGGGGGGGGAATTTATGGAGAATCCCATTTAGGACTGTGTGTTCCAAGCTCTTTCACTCTCTGCACATTGTCTGGCTATGTGTTCCCATCTACTGATTATAGATCAAAGGGCTTACAGCTGGGTTGGTGTTTACCTTTCTCCTTTGGTAGTATGCAGCATACCATCCCATAACAACCATGAACATTAGTCATTATGGATGAAGGCTCTAGCTAGAGACCAGCTCAATCAACTTCTCCATGTTCAATTAGTTGTATAGGTACTTCAGCATTAGGGCCTTACCATCAGTTTGTGGGTAGCAACTGATAGCTTTGGCAACAGCCTGGGTTGCTTGGGGGTCCCCATGGGGGTTCTTTGGTCAACAACTCAGTTAGATGTAATTCATTCCTTCAACAGGATGCTTCATTTGGTGATGAGAGACGTCCACCTGGGCTCCATCTCCCCAGTATTTGGTGATTCCATTTAGATCACCGTCATAATAGGTTTTTATTTTCTGAAGCTTTTACTGTATTAGGTTTCCATACAACCCTTAATTAATTTTAGCTGTCCCTTCCTGTATTTCCTATCTCACTCCCCCACTCCCACTTCTTCCTCCACATTTGATCCTTCTGTCTGTACACACACACACACACACACACACACACACACACACACACACACACACACACACACACACACACCCGTCTTAGTCAGTGTTCTGTTGCTGTGAAGAGACACCATGACCATGGTGACTCTTATGAAGAAAATCATTTAGTTGGGGCTCGCTAACAGATTCTGAGATTTGGCCCATGATCATCAGGGTGGGGAGCATGGCAGCATGCAGGCAGACATGGAAGCTGAGATTTCTACCTCCAGCTCTGAAGGCAGCAGGAAGAGAGTGCCATGGGGCCTGGCTTGGGCTCTTGAAACCTCAAATCCCACCCCCAGGGACACACTTCCTCCAACAAGGCCACACCTACTCTAACAAGGTCATACCTCCCAGTCTTCCCAATCAGTGCCACTCCCGGGTAACCAAACATTCAAATCTGTGAACCTATGGGAACCATTCCCATTCAAACACCACACTCCCCATCCATAACTATTCTTTTTCCCCTCCCTAGGGTGACCCAACCTCCTCCCTAGTCCCTTACTGCATACCTAACCTCTGTGGTTATATGGATTGTAGCCTGCTTATTGAAGACTTAACAGCTAACATCCACATATAAACGAATACATACCACATTTGTCTTTTTGGGGGGCCTGGGTTACCTCACTGAGGATGATTTTTTTTTCCAGCTCCATCCATTTACTTGCAAATTTAATGATTTTATTTTTTTTTAACAGCTGAGTAATACTCAACTTTGGAATTAACCACTTTTTCTTTATCCATTCATCTGTTGACAGATCTCTAGTTTGTTTTCAGTTTCTGGCTGTTAAGAATAGAGCAAGTGACTCGAGGAGGATGACTCATCTTTTGGGTATATGCCCAACAGTGGTATAGCTGGATCTCAAGGTAGATCAATTCCCAGCTTCCTGAGGAAACACCACACAGACTTTCATGGTGGCTGTACAAGCTCGCATTCCCACCAGCTATGAATGAGTGTTCCTCTTTCTCCACATCCTTGGCAGCATGAGCTGTCACTTGTTTTATTGATCTTGGCATTTTGACTGGTATACGATGAAGGCTCAAAGTAGTTTTGATTTGCATTTCCTGGATGATTAACTTCATTCCTTAGCAGTTTGAGTCTCATAGTGGGGGAACACGTTACATAAAAGCAAGTTGCCGAACCTGTACATTCCCAAGTATGATTAAATATTGCAGTGTAGCTTTACTTTTTTAAGATTTATTTTTAATTTATATGTATGGAAGAGTAGCCAGTGATTAGTTGCTCAACCATTTGTTCAGCCCACTAAGGTGTGGTTTAGAAAAGGCTAATGCTCTCCTCCCCCCCTCTCATTTCCTCTCTCAGTTCCTCGCTACCTTCCCAGGGTACACTGGGCAGGTGCACAATACAGATCACTAGCCGTCCTCTTGCTTTTTATTTTGAGTCGGAGAGTCGGGACTCACCACGTTCCCCACTCTGGCCTGTGCTCTTTGTGACCCAGCAGTTTGAACATACAATCTTCCTGCCTCGGCCATCTGCATTGCTGGCATGGGCCTGCACCCCAGGCCTTAGCATTCTTTCTCAGTACCAATGCCATTCATAGCAAGAGCTAAACCACCTGTCTATTTGCAACGAGTGTGTGTCGTAGGAATTTTGCTTTAATTTTGGAATATTGATATCAGTTAAGTGATTTTTATTAGGAGTCCCCCCCCCACACACACACACACACAGACAAGGTTTCTCAGTGTAATAGCTCTGGCTGTCCTGGAACTCTCTCTGTAGACCAGGCTGTCCTCAAACTCACAGAGATCTGTCTGCCCCAGCCTCCTGAGTGTGGGACTAAAAGTGTGCACCATCACTGCCTGGCTCTATTAAGAGTTCTTTATCAGAGCATTGTGGTCTGTGTTATAGATGTCACTCACTGAGGAGTTAATGATTTGATTAGCTTGAAGGCATGCTGAGACAGAGTGAAGAATTTTATTTGCTGTGAGCTTACTCTACAAGTGGCTGCTGCACAGTGTGACCCTAACTGATGTATCTCCTTTACAGGTGTCTCCAAGTTTTTCCACAATGGCTTCTGTTTAAGGAAAGACGCGATTGCTGCCAGTATTCAGAAGGTTGAGAAGATTCTCCAGTGGTTTGAAAATCAGAAGCAGCTTAACTTTTATGCAAGCTCATTACTGTTCGTTTATGAAGGTTCATCTCAGCCAGCTACTACGAAATCAAATGACAGAACTTTGGCGGGGAAGTTCCTTTCCAAAGGCCACCTGTCGGACGCAGACGCACTGGAGTGCAATAACAACTTTCACCTGTTCGGCTCCCCGGCCAATGGGACATCAGTAGGCAAGAGTTTATCCAAGGTGTACGCAAGACACAGGAAGCTGTACTCCAAAAAGCACCACAGTCAGACTTCACTGAAAGTAGAAACTCTGGAGCAAGAGAACGGGTGGAAAAGCTTGTCCCAGGAACATTTAAACGGAAACGTCCTTTCCCAACTGGAAAAGGTGTTCTACCACCTTCCCTCGGGCCGTCAGGAGACCGTGGAAGCAGAAGTGCGGATGATAGACTTTGCTCATGTGTTCCCTAGCAACACAGTAGATGAGGGCTATGTTTACGGTCTGAAGCATTTGATTTCTGTACTTAGGAGTATTTTAGACAGTTGAGCATCGCTGCAGTCTATGAAGGAGTGGGCCAATCACCATGGAGAGCCGCAGGCATTAGCTGTGCACCTGTAACGCTCTGTAAAAAGTTTGTATTGTGAGTCAGCATTTTATTTGTCTTTATACTTTTGGTAGAAGGTTAACTTTTTTATATTCTTACTCAGGAATACTAATTTGCTCATTAGAAAACTATGAAGAATAAAGAAACAGGAATGTCGAGCAGGGAATGTGTGAGACAGGGGGTAGTAAACAGCTGTAACACTTTTACAAAGTGCAAACCATTACTCAGTCATTCAGAATTCCCGTAGCTTTGTATAAGGCAGTTACCATAGAATCTCTGTCCACCCAGCCTTGCCAGTGAGCCGCATGTAAACATGACGTTGTCAGACCACCTTAAGATCTGGAAAGTGCAGATTGTTTTCATCAGGACCAGTGTGCCCAAGCTCCCTCAAACTGGAGAACATTTTACACAGAAAGGAGGCTGTGAGGACTCCATGTTAAAAAGCAGAGAACATCAGATAAAAGGTGCTTACGTGGTCATGTTCCACCGGCAGGATTCCCGGGGTTCCTTCTCTGTGCCCAGTGCTACCCTTTGTGGGAAGGGTGGATGAGGAACACGGCTGGCGACAGCAGCTACAGTCTGGGAGTTAAGAGCACAAATTTTCCCTCCCTAGGGTCAGGAGAAGAGAGATTATTTGTAAACAACAAATTACTTTTTTTTTTCCTCAAGGATTTTATTTATGGAAAAGTCTTCATTTACCCTGTTGTGAAAACTGTCATGAAGGGCGATGCTTTTTGATCACCAATCTATGGCTTCGGAGAGCTGGATGGTGGAGACTTGATTTTATTTCTTCTTTAAATCATTTTTGAGAGTCTTTCCATTAAAAAAGAATTCTTTTTTTTAAAAAAAAAAAAATACATACCCCCATTTACTTTCAGGCCTTTTAAATGCATTTCTCAGAATTTGGTTAGGCAGTGACATAATGCTGTGCCTGGTATAGACTGGACTCCTGCCTAGGTCTCACTCCTGTGGCATCTATCAAAGGAATCATAGTTTAATTTCACCTCAGAGCAAGGGCAGGCAACTTCTCCTTGAAAAAGTAGATTTATAAGTGTTATGTTTATTTTACACCCACCACCTTTTCCACATTAGCTACTTATTGATCCATAAAATATTTTTAAAGTTGAAATTAAATTTGCAAATCCTTCTGCTGTCAGTGCTGTAATTGCTTGCACTTTGACTCACTGATGTGTTAAAATAATTGAACTGCTTGTCATTTCTGGAAAATATTTTTGAGTTATGACTTGACCTTTTTTTAAAAAAAAAAAAAAAAACCCTTTTCCTTCAGAATTACAAATAAAACTGGTATACCCTCGATCAATTTTCTTGAATGTGGAGGGAATTTATCTCACTTTCCTGATCCCATCAAAGAGTAGTTTGCAAATGCCTACGCCCAAACATAAATGGGTCGTTAGCCAGAGAGACTCGGCATGTGTGTTTTTCCGAGTTTTACTTAGGGGGCCGTAAGTGTTCACCACCACGACTTAATGTTCTCTGCCCAAGTGTTTACTGGCTATAGATGTTTTTGTTTCTTTCATTTTGTGGGAGTGAGTTTCAAGCATAATTATTGGAAAACTTTGAGTCTTACCTTTTTTCTAATTCAATTCAGTAACTCTCAAGCTCATCTAGGGAACACTATTTAATCTTAAGAGGCAATTTGGGGTGGTGTCAGGCTACATATATATATGATGGATAAGTCAACTCAAGTACGAAAAGCCTTGGGCACACTTTAGCTCAGTAAAGTCTTCATCTACAGCTATTTCGAACATTTTGGAAGCCAGCATCCTGCCTTTCTGAAGACTAGGTTTTGTCTGAATAAAACAGGAAGTGATTCTTATCTCTGCTTTTCAGGGAAGGGATTAACATTCATTTCTTCTTGTTTACATTTTACCACTGTTGCCCACTTTATGTTAACTTTTCAATTATGCTTTTTGATGATGTGATCAATGTGTTTATGTAACCAACCTGTGGCGTTTTTTCTAGTCTGTCCTGTCTTGTAAGATGATGCTGAGATTTGCCACTTTGGGGATGAGGCTTCCATCACTAGCCAAACGTATGTGAACACACAGATACTTAAGAACTAAGCAAATGAGGAGATGATTTGGACTGATGGGAATGCTAGCCCCTTCCCGCCCAACATGATTTTAGTGTGTTTCTTACAGGATGCACTCATGGAAAGGACTTTTAAGAAATTGTGGATGTGAATACATTTCTCAAATAAAAAGTTTAAATTGTATAATAGTTTTATAATAAAGTATTTACATTAATTATTTTAATATGGATGGATGTTGCATAAATTATAATTGTTGCTAAATATTTAAATAGTCTTTCAAGAGCGTGTTGAAAATGTGTGTAAGTGGCTCTGACAGCCGGGGTGTTAAATTAAGATGGGATGCTTTGCTTTGTGTGCCTGAAGGGGGCCTGTGCACCCTGCCTGTCCATACTACAGGCTGCTCAACTGAGTAAGAGCTATTTTCTGAATGGTGATGTCCTGTAATTTAGTGGTTTGTGATCTCTACAGCAATGCTCTACCCATCAGGCCTATGAACTACCAAATTTATAACATTTGAGGGAAAATGAATTTCTGTAATTCAATTGCAATTTTCTCATTATTTTTGAATTTGGAATGTGTATGCTGGAGGGAGGACTGAACTGTGAAGTGACGGGCCCTGTGGCTGTCCTTTGAATGCAGAATGTTAGTAGCACCCCTCTTGAGGTCTAATGTTTAAACTTGCTTTGTTTAAACAGCCATTTATACTGCTGCCCTTATCTCCCAGACCCCTGACCTTGAGTTTTGTCTATTTGTAGCTGCAGTTGCCCTTTCTGTCTCCCCCTACAATGGCTTAATTGCCCAGAAATAGCAAGTCCTTTTAGAATGCGGTTACCCTCAGGGTAGTTTCTGGAGGCCTGGCCCCTCAGTGCACTCAGATTCCTTCCCCAAGCCACACCATGTCAAGCATTTTCAGCCACTCTCAAGTGTTCATCTGTGAACCAACTGGTCAAGACTAAGTAGGTGGAGTGGCTGCTGGGGACCTTCCTTAACACAGAGATCTATAGACACCAGCATTTAAAGCTGTTAAAGGATAGTGTCTGGGTAAAGTCGAAGCGGTAAGTACCGAGTTACAAATGAGGCAGAGAATTTTTGACTTTTGGGCTGAGACCAAGCGCAAGTGAGTCGAGGGTAGAAGCGCAGAGCTGTCCCTCCACTTGACACTCCAGCTGGGTGGCAGCTAGAGATGACATAAAACAACTTTAAATTCCACGTTTGCTTGTAAAGGCATGTTTAGCTTCACCTCTAGAACAATATTGGCATAGTGTTACTGCGGTCACCCCTTACCAGTGCGAACATTTTAGACCTCAGATTTTAAATCACCAGTATGCTATTTCTTCACTTCAGAGTAATTGCATTATAACATAAAATACTGGTATTTTGAGGAGTCCACTTCTTTGCTGGCAGTTTTGAAAGTCTTAAAACTTGTTCTGCTAGCTTCTATTAAAAGCCACCATGATTCATACCATTAAGTCAGTAGAAAATCAAAGTTTTTTTTTTTTAATTATTAGAAATGTATTGTTAAACTTTAGCCTGGTGTCCACTTACAGGATCAGCAGTTTAATTATTGAAGGTAGGGTTTGTGATCCCCTGTAGATAAGGGGAAGGGCATACAAAGACACTCTGCTGTGGGATCTATACTGGAAGATACACAAAACCATCGAAAATGGCACCCAAATTGTGTCCACAGTAACTACAGGTGGCAGTGCCAGCCCTCCCATACTTGATGAATGAATGTATTGCTGTACTTGGGTGTAAATGTCTAAATGTCTCTAGTTTTCTTTTTCAGGGTTTGTAATTTGTGCCGTTGACAGCATATTCTTGGAGTGTAAAGGTCATCACTGTGTTTCTAGACTCATTTAATGTGATATACCAATTTTTATAAGTGATATTTAGATAATCCTAATAACTGTATACTCGACAACTTATTAAAATGTTTTGCATTGGAGTTTCTTTTGTTAATTACCACATTTGAACAAGCTTATGGTGTAAAAGACACTCAGCAAATGTTTGGGCGCTGAGGCATGCACATGACATGATCAGGAGGGATTTGAAGATGACAGAGTTGGGAGAAGCTTGCTCATTGCTCATTGAATGACGGGGTGGAATCAATTTGTACGAGTTTTTTTTTTTTTTTTTTTTTTTTTTAAGCATGAAACCCAAAATCTTGGGGAAATTGATGCTGTGAAAATGCTATGGGTTTTTGTTGTTGTTTTGTTTTGTTTTTTTGTGAGAAAGACACACTATGTAGACCAGGCTGGCCTCAAACTCAGAGATCTCCCTGCCTTTGCCTTCAGAGTGCTGGGATTCGAGATGTAGCCACCACACCAGGCTTTAAAATGCTGTGGTTTTAAAGTGTTAACTTGGTTAGACTTGTGTATATTTAAATATTGTGGATTGGTCTCCTACTGAGTGGCCAAGGTATTTTCATTCATTAGGAGGAATTAGAGATATTTATCTGCTTGAGAATTTGGTTTAGAAAAATTATACACATGGGTGTATTCACGGGAGTGCAAGTGCCCTTGGAGACCAGAGGTGTCTTGGATCCTGGCAAGCTAGAATTGCAGGCAGTTGTCAGTCAATCCATGTGTGTGTCGGGGACTGAACTAAGGCCCTCCCTCTGCAGTACATACACCTATCTGCTCAGCATCTCGCTGAGATACATGTGGACACCAGGGGACAACTTTGGAAAGTGAGCTTTTTCCATGATGGGATCTGGGAGGTGTCTGAGGCAAGCGCTTTTACCCACTGAGCTACCTTGCCTATCCACAGTTGGCTTCTAAACAAGGTTGTCACATGTGGCAGGCTGACCTTGAATTCCTGATCCCCCTACCTTCACCTCCACATTGCTGGGATTACTGTTGTTGTTATTTGCCAGCATCCTGGCCTGAGATGGTAAAACCAGAGTTCCATAAGTCTTTCTCAAGATGTGTGCTCCTTAGTACTGAGGAAAAGCAAGTGAGGGGCTAAGCTACTCCACAAGAACTGTAAGGGAAACCAGTGCTGACACCACATAGAGGGGGCATGGTCCTTCCTTGTCTGGAGATTGCAGTACAAGGGGGCTACCTGTCCAGAGATGGTAAAAAGAAATAGGCAGGGAAATTGAGGTAGGATGATCACTACAAGTTTGAGGCCAGCCAGGGCCACAGAGCAACAACCCCATCCCCATCTCAAACAAATTAGCAAAACAGAATGGCTTTGAGAGGTGATAGGGTGCAGTCATCAGTGGCAGCCCTTCTCAGTTGGAAGGTAGGATTGTTAACTTTGTCCAGTGATGGGGGATGTCCTTCTGTATATATGTTTCTCCTATTGATTGATGAATAAACCACTTTTTGGCTGATAGAGGCAGGAAGATAGGCGGGACTAGGAGACAAGGAGAATTCTGGGAAAGGTAGGCAGAGAAGCGCTGGAAACAGTCACCATGAAGCTAGCCAAAGGAGAAACAGATCCACGAATTATCCAGTAAGCCACGACCACGTAGAAGTACATAGATTAATAGAAATGGGTTAATAATTAAGACTGAGCTAGTCAGTAAGAAGCCCTAGCCATCGGCCAACAGTTTAATAATTAATATAAGTCTCTGTGTGTTCATTTGGAGCTAAAGCGGCTGCGGGACAAGAGAAATTTAGAGCAACAGTCCAGACCTCAGCACTACTTCCAGGTCAATGAGAGAGCCTGTAACAAGGCAATAAGTCAGAGAGCAATAGAGAGACACCCACTTCCCTGCTCTAGCCTCTGAAAGGGCAGGCATACCTGCAACCAACACCTCCCACCCCCACCCCATACACACCAAACATTACATGTTAATAAAACTGACAAAATCATCCCTTAACGATATTTTTTTCCCTGAAGTTCTGGGTGTTGAATTCCCTCCCGACCGCTCAGCCATGTCAATAAAAATTGACAAAAATGAATCATTTATTTTGGAAGCAATTGCAGTTTGTGTACCAGGCATCAAGTCAGCTCTGACCGGCGTCACATAGGTCGATGTGGGCCAGGATTCCTATGGAGACGCATGTACGTGCAGATGCTTGCCTGCTCACCATTTGGGGAGACGGGTGATTGGGCAGAAATGGCAAGCCAGATCTGACTGGCTAGGTAGGGTTCTTGCTTCTGAGCCATGTTAAAAGTCTACAGATACTGACTTCAGTACTTTATGCAGATCTGGAACATTCTGTGGCTTGACCTTTAGTTGTAGTCTTTGTGCCTGTGCTTTCACAGCCTAGGCACAAGGAAGGTGCCAGTCATGAGCACCTCACCACAAAGTGTGAGGACCATAGATAAGGATGGAACGGGCCTACAACTCATGGATTTGGGTGCCTTTCAGAGAAAAACTTTAACATCTGTAAAGAAACTGCTACAGTAACTTGCAGCCCTCATCAGTCTCAATTTGCATTTTCACTCCCTGTAGTAGCTGATCCCAATTCATTGAGGTTAAGTCAGAGGAGAGAACAATTCAGGTAAAAGA